TACACTAGCGAGTAGCTCGATGAGTTTCTGGCGCGGAAAGGGATTCTCAAGCGCGAGACAGTGCCGTACGCCCATCAGCAAAACAGAGTAGCTGAGCAGATGAACAGAATGCTGCAAGGGAAGACGTGCGAGCTTCTGCAGCAGTCCAACCTGACAGCTGACTTTTCGCCATTTGTGATGGCGCAAGCTGTCCGACTGCACAGCTGTCTATCTTCAAAGCCCTACCTCAATTCAATTCGCTGCATGTCATGTGGACAAAGCAGCCCACAGATACTAGACTTTTATGAGTTTGGACCAATACCGACCTCTGAGCGCAACTATGGGCAGATTTACTGAACAGGCTCGATAGGGAATATACCTCGGTATACAGTACCTAAGGATTCCCACTCATAGAAAATCATGGATTACAAAACTCGAAAAGTTTTGTATGCCCGCGATTGCATCTTCTACGATAAATTATTTCTCAATGACTTCGAATGCGATAAGAAATGCCAGCAGTGGGATCCTGATCGCTACAGCGCCTAAAGGAGTTTTTGCTACCACTCAGAACAAGCAGTAGGACCTTCTACAGTTCCGCAACCGTACATGTCAGCAGCTGAACCTGGTCCTTTGTCATGTGAAGAACCATTTTTCGACTCCTACATTCCAAAGGCTTGTGCCTATGGCACAGAAACTCCGCTCTTCATTCCACTCTTGGACCAGTTGCATCCTACCACGACACATGCTGCTTACAATTACTGTATGAGGAGCACCTGTGCCGACAGAAAACCGACGCAACATCACATGCCGGTGCGCGCCAACTTCATCCAAAACCAACGATGATGACGTCGTCGAAGTTCGCCAACCATATCCACGAGATGACCAATCGGCTCTTCAAATCCCTGGACTGGCTGCCGCAGTTTAGCAACCAACGGCCGGGATTGAGCCGAAAACAGTCAAGCATGCCCTCTCTAGCTCGGATGCAGCCAAGTAGCGAGCAACTTCTGTATGGATGCAGAGGTAGTTGCCCTCGAGAAGCGGAAAACTTTGAAACTGGTTCCACGAGAAGCATTACGCGACAAAAAGATTCTTTCGGGCAAGTGGGTCTTCTGCATAAAGACAAAAGCAGCAGGCAAACCAGCCAGATTCAAGGGGAGATGGGTTGTTTGAGGTTTTGAACAAACCCACCGCATCGACTACGACCAGAATTTTGCTCCGGTCAGGCGCCATAACTCAGTTCGAATTCTTCTCGCGATTGCCGCCAATCACCATCAACCACTTTGCCAGCTGGACGTTAAAGATGTGTTGTTATACGCAGACGTCGATGCAGATACTGTATTTTCGTCGAACTCCCTCATACTCACAGTGACGGACTCCAATTCTTCAAGTTAATAAAATCCCTCTACGACATCAAAGTTACTCTGTTTCTTGGGCTAAACGTCGGCATCAGCCCTGCTGCCATCTACCTCTTTGCGAGCAAGTATGCCGAAAAACTTGCGAAAAAGTTCGTTATCGCTCCCATCGGCCTCACTACTCCTTTTCTCATACCACACACCCAATACTACCCCACATACCACCTTCGAGCATCAGCTCTACCAATAGCAGCTCGGGTGTGTCCTATTTGCAGTCGTTACCTGCCGCTCATATCTTACTTACATCACGAGTCAGCTCGCATAATACACCTGCGCCGATTTGAAGGGGAAAATATGGTCGATCTTTGTCATGCCCTTCAATATTCATTTCAGCTCGTACAGTTGGACTAAGCTACGCGACAGATACTGTAGCGAACTTTTGACTGATAGGATACGTTGATGCAGATCACACTGCTAACTCCGACAACATGTGTTCATACACAAGGTTCATCTTCAAGCTTGAACCGGGTGGTGTCATTTACTCGAACTCAACAAAACAGGAGGTTATCACACTTTCGTTAGCCGAAGCGGAATTCATCGCAGCAAGCTCTGCAGTTCGTGAAAGACTATATCTTCAAGAGTTACTTCAGGAGGCAAAAATCACAATGACTCGAAAATTAAGTTGCTCTGCGACAGTCGAAGTGCAATCAAGATTGCAAGCAAGCCCGGCTTCATCAACATGACAAAACATATCACCCTCCGTTACTTCTTTGTCAAGGAAGAAATCGACAAAGGGAAGGTCGTCCTGAAGTACTGCCCTACAGAAGAAATGACAGCTGACTTTCTCGAGAAGAAACTCCCACACGACAAATTTCAGTATTGCTCCAACCTAGGACGATCTGCAAACGAGGCAACACTTAACCAGAGACATACACTCAGGAATGAAGGGGAATTATACTCGACAGAGTTACCATTTATGCATTCCTAATATAATACTTAGACTTTACTAGTAGCGCGATACCTCATATGGAAGGACGAGCATGATGACGTCAGCAGTAGCAAGTCGATGTGTGAACAGTAGGTTCGCGCATATAGTTACCCGAAGGGTCACGCCACTCTCAGTCACATGAACACTCACTAGTCATGTCACGCGGATAGTCGCGATACATTACGAACATGTACATTCCGAGTAGGTACTTCCTAGAGTATTATCCTTGTTATTTAGGAGATTTCCCTTGCAAGGTGTAAAGTCTTATGCTGACTTTTACTCTTGGTTCCACCAACTCTAGATCTTGAACACCCTAAACACATGGTTTACTCCAATACGCGCCTCATTGGTTCCTTATTTAAAGGGCGAGGTAAGACCTGCAGCCGCCGCTGCATTAAGATTCATCCTTGCCTCCCTTAAACGAGATGTCATATAAAGTGGGAGAGACGAGATGAAGAACGACGACAGGGTGAATGATTAGGGAAAAGGGATGTACACGGGAAGAAGGGAAACATGGAAGAGGGAAAAGCCAGATGGAAAGCAAAGTGAAAGGGGAGCCTACTAATGGACTACACTACAAAAGTAGTGCACGAATCACGATGCTCACCCATCTGTCATCCTTTGCATCGTGCGCATATGCACCCGCAGGAACACTCACACAAAGAAACCACACATGCATACAAGCGAGTATGAGCCACCCATCCCCTTACCCACCCCCCCTATCCCTCTTCCCCCGCTGCTACACGCTCTCTCCTCCACCCCTCTCCACACACCACATGTGCACCGAACCATAGCCTAACACCCCATCACTCATATGGTTCCACATCATGGCGTGCTTGTTGCACGCCTCATGGTTAAGAAGAACACCACCACCGTGATATCATCGTGGGACCCCTACCGCTGCCTCCCCGAACTAGGCGTAATTGTTCGTCAACCTCATGGTTGAATAATAGCATCACCGTGATGGGCATCATGGTTCTCTCACCGCTGCCCACTCAACATGTGCAGCACTTTGTATTACTGAATCTCCCACCTCTTCATCGCAGCACCACATGTTTCAGTTGTCAAGTGATTTCATGTGTGAGATGAAACTAGAAAACAAAGGAAAAGGGAGGCAGGGTGGTGGAGTAGGGGTGTAGGAGATGGAAATGGAAGGATGTGCCAAACAAGCGTAGGAAATACTATAGGCGTCATGAGGATGGATGGAGCACACAGTAACGTCATTTTCTTTCAGGCATTTGATTGAACTAATCTTCGCAGCCCGCACAATGAAACATGGTTTTTTTGGGGTTCGATTAAGAAATGACAAGTATCAGGAGAACCATGGGTGAACATCGTAGAGGCTGGTGGGACATCTCAAAGCACAGTCTCTACTAGGCATGAGCAAAAGGCCCGGACGGGCTGGGCCGGGCCGGACCGGTCCGGAAATCTCCCGGACCGGGCCCAATACTTCGAAGGGTACCAGCCCGGTCGGGCCGATCCGGCCGGCCCGCCGGCCCGGCGTGGCTGTGCATGTCGGCCTGGTCCGAACCGGTCCGACGAGCTGACGCTGCCGGACCGGTTCGGACCGGCCCGTCGTCGGGCCACGTTCGCGAAGTCAGGCCGGGCCGGCCCGGTCCGACGTGCTGGCCGTATCATGGGCCGCGCAGCTCGGTTGACCGCGGGGTCAAAATTTCGGCAATGAAGTTCGAAATTTCGACCATCGCGACTCATTTTTACAGCAGAAAACGAGTCTCGACCAACTATGTAGGCGTCCAGGGGCTCCTAACCCTACAATCCGTGGCAACCACCGTCGGTTTTAGTCCCAGAGACAACTGCTACTTGTAATTCAGGGTAGATCTACGGACGTATTTTTCTATCGGGACGATTTTTGGCTAGGAAAAAGTAGCGCGCTGTTCTCTCTAACCTAGAAAACGTACCCCCTTTTGAAAATCGCCGAGCCCCTCAGATCTGTTTTTGTGATTCGCCTTTGGCACGTACTACTCAGTTACAAATCGCGTTTCTCCACTGTGACTTGTTCGAAAAGTACAGCATAACTCGCCAAACAATCTCAACCTAACTTTGACATTACACTCTGCATAGCTGAAGGTTCGCGTGTCACTAGGCGCTAGGCGAAGTTGGTGACACGTTTGAATCAAGGCAATGGGCGATTTTGGTGGCACGCTGCGTCAGATTCACGATCGCGGGGCGAGCACTGGAGGGGGTAGTAGTTATGGGTTGCGAGGGGCCCTCCAGCAGGTGACCGCTGCCCGATGGGCAGCAGAGCTTTGCGTTGGGCTCACACATCCACCGAGGAACGGCTGAGGAGGGAGGGGGGGAGGAGGAGATGGGAGAGCACGGGGTTTCAAGCAGCGGGAGATGAATGACGAAGAGTACCACATCAGTGGGAGGAGTTGTCCGAGGAGTCCGGCGACGGCCGGCCAAAACAGCGAGGTGGGGAGAAGGGAATGGGAGGAGGCCCAGAGGTGGTGGGCAGGGCAAAACCGCTAGGGCAGGGAAGGCGTCGCGGAGGGGGGGGCTGGCAATGGGGAGGGCACACACCTCCGCGCGGTCAGCCGCGTGGAACGGGCGGCGCGGGGCACGGAGAAGGTCGTGCGGGGGGGGAGGATCGCCGCGTGATGGGCAGCGAGGGGGCAACCCTCTTGACGAAGCAATGGAGGGCGGTGTAGGCACGCCCACGACCGCTGCTGCAGGAAAGGGAGGGGGCAAGGCAGGAACAGGGCAGGGGCAAAAGAAACACGCGAGAAAGGCGGCAAAGGCACGCACCACGCGTTTGGCGGACGACAAGTCCTGGCCGGCGAAGTGAGGGGTATGTTTGGGGCTTTGGACAAGGTCAACGAACAGCGCGAGTGTCGAGCGTGCCGCAAGTTCATTGGGTGGGCTGATGGCAGCACGAATGCCGGGAAGCGGCACATGGAGCGTTGGCACATGCCGCATTATCAGATTTGGAAGCGGCTGTACATGGTGGAAAACAGGGCGCCTGATCTCGAGTTTCCCTGAGATGGTTATCCGGGTGTGCCTCACAGCGGGGAGGAGTGGCCGCGGGCCGCATACTGGCCGGGGTACCCACCTGGAGAGGAGGCGCCACAGGGGGAGACGGTGGAGGGGGGGCAGCAGGACATGCGCCAGTTCTACACTGCCCGAGTCTCTCCCGCCCGTCTGCATGCAGCCCTTGTTGAGCTTTTTGCCGACGCTGACTTGGCGTACCGCCTAGTGGATCGGCCAGCGGTGAGTGCTTCAGATGCGTTGCGTGCGGTACCATTATCCTCGCTTGGAGTTCCAATTGATGTGCACGCTGTTGGTGGCCTTGCATAGTCCGTGTGCTCCGCCTCTCCACGCAACAGCTTACAAATCAACGCCCGCTTACGTGTGTTGGGCATGTATTACACCCTGCACACATCCCGCCTGCAGTTCCATCGTTACACGGCGCTGCTGAATGCCCAGGCGGAGGCCATGCTCCCTCGTGGTGGACGCTGGCGCGTGACATGGGTGCGACGGGTGATGCTGTCCGTGAGCTGCAGAAGCAGATTGTGTTGGGGGGATGGGTTGGCGGGGAAGATGTTGTTCACCACTGACATCTGGACGAGTGTGGCCAGCCAGGCGTTCATGGTGCTGACTGGCCACTGGATCACCAGTGACTTCCAACTGCGGCAGGTGGTGATGGAGTTCGAGCAGCTGCACGGCTCGCACACTGGGCTTCTGATAGCAGAGACATTTGAGCGGGTCTTGACCTAGTGGGGCCTCGTACCCCACCTGTTCGGCGTCACCACCGATAATGCTGAGAATAATGCCAAGGCCATGTGGCTCCTCATGGGCGAGGACCCCGGCCTTGGTCGCGACCCCATCCTCAAGGAGGATCGGCACTTCCGGCAAGTGGTTGCACACATGCGTCTTTCTTGTCAGGTGTGCACCTTGCAATTTCGTATCTGGTGGTAACAGTGCTCATGTCTTCATCGAGTCCCTAAAACCTTCGTCCCATTTGGCGTCTGCCCCCCCACATAGATGCCTTGGCCACGTCGGGAACATCTCAGTTCACGCGGCCACTGCCATCCCCGAGGTCTCCGAGCCCCTGCGCAAGATGCGGGACATTGCAAGCTTCATCGGCATGTCCACCCAGCGCACCGAGAGGTTCGAGGATGAGTAGCGGTGGGCGGGTGGTGATGGGGTACTCTATCTTGTGTCGGACACGCCGAGAAGGTGGAGCTTAACTTACGAGTTGGTGGTGCGCGCCATCAAGCTGGAGCCGGCGCTTGCTCTCCATTTCGCGCGCGCCGAGGTACGCATGCCGCACTTAGCATGACAGTGCTCGTATTGTGTGCTAACAGTCTCTCCACCGTGTGCATGGAATGACCCTTCCACTATTGGCCTACTCCAATGCCCGTTTTATACATAACCAACCACGCCTTTCCAACACATTTCCGCTCTTCCCGCCCCGGGCCGGTGCCAGGGCTAGCGTGCGCGAGAAAGTCCAGAGCCTTCAGCCCACCGATGCTGATTGGGAGATTCTGACAGAGTTACGTGATTTCCTCCACCCATTCGCTCGCGTCACCACCGCGGCTGGATCCCCACCGCCTTGCCAGCTTGAAGAAGTACCACTACACCACGAGCAAGGAGTTGTTCATTGCTACCTTCCTGGATCCCCGCTTTTAAGCATCTCTATTTCAGGATCAAGAGGTGGGAGGCGAACAACCCACAGCTGGCCACAGAGTTGGGGGGGAAGGCAAGAGCGGTCCTAGACATCGACAAGGCAGCGGTGCTGAAGCTAGTGCGCGAGAGGCTTAGCGGGTATCAGCAGGAGTTGAGGTCTCGCGATACCAGCACGGGGACAAGCCGACGCGCACCAGTTGGGGCGGGGGTAGAGGTGGAGGGGGGGACTGGACCAGCTGCGGGGGGGGATGACGGCCTAGATGATGGACTGTTCAGTACACTGGATGAGCTGGAGGCGGAGGCGGGGTCGCAGCAGCTGGACGAGGTGGACACATACATTAGGGCGGCGAAGGAGCCGCGGACTCCTGCCCGCTAGCCTATTGGCGTGACAGGCACTACCTCCCCGGGTTGAGGGCGATGGCTCGGGACTACCTAGCTATCCCGGCCTCGTCTGCAGCAAGTGAGCGAGCTTTCAGCCAGAGTCGGAATATATCATTACTTGGCAGAGTCATCGACTGACAGGTCCTCACGTGCGTGCGACCATGACTATCAAGTCATGGCTTTCGCAGAACACGGGGGTGCCGCCCTTGGATGCCAAGAATCTGAAGGCAACTGGAGGAGTGTGCCTTGAGGGGGATGATGAGGGGCTTTGAGTGGGATTGGGGGTGGTGCTGCAGGTTGGGATTGGATTAAACATTATTACGTCTCTCCAAGGACCTGGCAATGAGCCAATGGGCCCTCTTTGGGACTTTATTTATTAGGCTTGATAACGTGCATACATGACTGCCTAATTCTGCATTTTCCATAGCATGAGGGCCTGCAGCAGCCGACAGCCCAAAAACCACAAGTTCGTGGCCTTGTGTGCACCTTCCATGTGTAGCTGCATTTCCTGCGCATTTAGGGGACTATGAGACACGTTACAAGGGGCCACAACCACCTTAGAAATCTGCCAGAACAATGCACGACATCCCCCATCAAAACCCCACCCGAAACAGTCAAAAAGGGGTCCCGGGCCGGCTGGCCCTGTTTAGGCCCGTTTTTATACTGGGCCGGACCGGTTCGGCCACCGGGCCAAGGTCGGCCCGGGTCTAGAGACCCGGGCCGGGCCAACAAATCCAGGAATCCGGCCCCGTTATGGGCCGGCCCGGCCCGGCTCGATTTCTACCCGAGCCGACCCAAAACCGGGCCGGGTCGGGCCGTTTTTCATGCCTAGTCTCTACTGTACCTTTCTCAGAATTATCGTGTTTCCTTTTTCATGTTTTGTTGATACATGCTAGTGACGGCAGGTTTGGTCTAGGGTTTCGTCAGAATCACACGAATGTTGTCTCTCACAAATAACCATACCCTCCACAAATACTGCCTGAGTAATGGTAACTGCTGTGGTGCTGGCGCAATAACTCCGGCTGGTGCACGATAGTCGCTGCTGGCGCGATAACTTCGGCTGGCGTCGTTGCTGTTGGCAAGATCGCAACCAGTACCGGCTGCTGGTGCCGCAATGCTGCATTTGGATTGCGCTTGCTTGTGCTAGCATGACTGCTGGTGCTGTTGCTGTGCTTCTTGGTCGAGAGAGGAAGGAGCGAGAAAACAGCAAGAGAGGTGTCGTTTTCTCCCTCTCATTCTTCCGGCCGTCACTTTACCTTTCCTGTATTATTTTCTCCTTCGCTTACTTCTTTCGCGTAAAAAATAAATAAATCGTTCTCTACTGTGCCTTCTTCCTTCCTCCCCCCCTTCCATTAGCTCTGACCTCCGGTCATGATGTGATTTCCCTTATTGTCACTTCCGCTGTAATGGTTTCCTTTCTGGCTTTTCAAAATCTCTGTTTATTACTTCCTCTTCTGCTCCATTGTTCAAACTCATTTTTCCCGTTTCAGCCCCTTTTCGTTTGCTGTCAATGGCCGCTCATTTGTTTTGCCACTGCCCTTTTTAAAAAAGTTTCATTCGTTTCCGTGTATGCAGATGTTGGCGTTCGCTTGATAACTTTCCTGCATGAAATTTTCTTCGTCCTTCCGTGTCTCATTCCATGCTTGACTTCGTTTTTTTTTTTTTCCTTCTTTATTTTTTCCTTCTGAGTCGGCTCGCGAGTCGGTCCACCTCATGATCGCTCAATACGTGCTTGCGACTCGCAAGCCGTGAGTTGTCATCTTGACGGCTAGTCGGGCCGGGCTTGCAGCTTAGCTGAGCTGACCGAGACTACGCAGAGGTGGCCCGATTCCACATGTGGCCGAGCCGAGCCGATGAGCTGAGCCACCCCACCAGCTCATTTCTACTTTAGTTCCCCTCTCTTACTATGCTACTGGGATTTGCTCTTGTCTGTCCATTGCTTTTCGCCTTCTCTCTTCCAACCTTTCGTGATATTGTCACATTTCCCCTTCGTGTCATGTCCTTTCAGGTTATCCTGATTTGTTTGTCCCCCCCCCCGCTCCCCCACCCCCTGCCCCCTTTCTGGTAACATTCCTTTCCTTCGTTTCCACTCCGTCCTTTAATTTGCAGTTATCCCCGGTCTTGGCAGCAGAAATGCCACCTGCAGCCATTTGCAGCCTCCCGCCGCACCTGCTGATGCACATTTGGACCGCTGCCAGAAAGCCGTGGGGCGGGCCGGAGTCCCTGGCAGCACGACTGTGGCAGTTCCGTTGGGACAAGGATGATTTGGGCCAGCAGATTCTGAATCTGAGCCTGAGCCGGCGTGGGATGATTTCGGACGAGGACGATGTGAGCCGGCGCGCCTGCTGGCGGCCGGCCCTCCAGCCCTGGCTAGTGTGCAGGGCGTGGCGGCGTGCGTACCGCGAAACACAGGAGCGGCTGCTCGTGCGTGCGGGTGGGGAGGAGGAGCACGGCAGTGTGTCCACAGCAGAGCTGCTGCAGCTGCTCTCGCAGTGCAGCAGCAGCAGCCTGCGCGAATTGCAGCTCGAGTGTGCAGCTCTCTCGGACCCCATCACTGACCGCCTGCTCCTGGCCATTGCTGCTGCCGCCCCAGGCTTGCGCAGGCTGTTGATTCTCCACCCCTCCGGTGTCTTCACTGCAGACATGCTCCCGAGCCTCCTGGTGGCGCCTGCAGCAGCTGCCACCGGCATGAACGCAGTAGAAGACGCATGTGAGGTTACCGCACGTCACAGCGGCCGCTGCGTGACAGGTGCTGCACATGGTGCTGCGGGGTTAACAGAGCTGCACCTGGGCTGCTGTGGGGAGGAGGGCTGCACAAACAGTCGTGGTGACGTCGTCACCCCTGCTGGTCTGCTGCATTTCGTTGCTGCCTGCCCCATGCTGCAAGGCGTGCAGCTCGCGAAGAGGAGCATCCAGAAGCACAGCCACACGATCCTTGTGCGCACCCCCGCCGATGGCCCTACAGCACAAGTGCCCGTGCTGAGGCTGGGAGATGCGCACATGGCACTCGGCAGCTCTGGTGCTCAGCCTTCCTTGCTCTCCCACTGTGTCAATCTCGACTCGCTCAGCCTCGAGTTACCGGACTCTGTCAAAGCCCTCCCTTCCGCCATCAGCCACCTGTCCGCGCTGCGCTCCCTCCGTGTGGAGGGGAAGCAGCTAGCTCTGAACGCCCTCAGCGCCCTCTCCTCACTCGAGCAGCTCAGCCTGAACTGCAGCGAGCAAGGCTCTGTGCTCCCCAGTTGCATATCCTCCCTCACCTCCTTGGCTTCTCTCAGCGTCACTGGCTTCGACGCCGTACCCCCTGCCATCACCGCCCTGCAGTCGCTGAGGCAGCTGCACGTTGGAGCACCCGTGTGCATGCTGCCACCCTGGAGGCCATGACCTGCCTGAGGGGCCTCACTCTCTCACGGGTCCACGAAGCAACGCCGCTCGTAGAGTCGCTGACTGCCCTGCCTTTTCTTCAGAAGCTGGTGCTGGAGCGTTGCGCCATGGAGTCTCTGCCGCACAACTTTGGCCGGCTCAAGGCCCTGGAGGACCTCCGGTTGATTGGCATGGAGGACGGGCTGGATCTGACGCTGTCTCTTATTGACCTGCATGCACTGCGCACACTCGTCATACACCACAACGTCCCAGACTTTACCGCGGACCCAGACAAGGAGGAAAGTGGGTGTCTGCCTATGCTGCTGGAGGTGGAGGTGTACGACGTGGATCTCGACTCCTTCCCTTACTGCCTCGTGGAGCTGATTGAGGCGACCCCTCGTGTGCGGCGGCTGAGCATGGTGGATATCTACCATTCGGACGAGCAGGACTGGGAGCTCCACTTGGACCACATGGACCAGCTGGAGGAGCTCGTGCTACGAACCTGCTCCCACGGCATGAATCTCACCATTGGCCGCCTTCCGGCCCTCAAGTACCTCGTCCTTGAAGACCTTCCCGGGCTGAGATGCCTGCCTGATGCCATTGGGGACCTGCATCAGCTGCAGGAGCTGGAGCTGGTGAATCTGCCCCGGCTGCGCACCCTGCCTGCATCGCTGAGCTCTCTGGAGCAGCTGAAGCTGCTGAGGGTGCAGGGATGTGCGGGGTTGAGGGAGATCCGGGTTGGGAGCGGCACAATGGTTGAGGATAGGAGGGATGACGTGGCAGGATGCAGTAGCTGCTGCAGCAGCGAGAGTGAGGGAGATGATGGCGGGGAGTTGGATGCGCTTGATGGGGACAACGAGGATGCGGGGGAGGACAAAGGGGAGGATGAGGAGAAGGGGGAGGATGAGGAAAAGGGGGAGGATGAGGAAAAAGGGGAGGATGAGGAATAGGAGAATGATGATGATGTTGCTGAGGGGGAGCATGGAGCGCCCTTTGAGATGGCCGATGGAGTGGATGCGAGGGGGGGCGTAGACGATTGACGTATGGATCACAGGGCGTTGATGCATGGATAGTCATTTCAGTGGAAGATGATGCGATGCGAGGGTGCCAGCTATGGTCAGCATTCACGGGGTTGCGTCTGGCACGGTGTTGAAGTGGAGGAAGGTGAGCCTTGGGAGGAGAGCTGAGGATGAAGGGGTGTGGCCGGGCCGGTTACTTTGGTAACTACCGGTAGTAGTTAGAATCGGATCAAGTGAAGGAGGATGATTGGTTTTTTGGGGACGAGCCTGCTGTTTTAGCATGCAGTGGAGAGTATGCGAATGACGAGGCACAGCCGGCTGGTGAAAGCAACTGACGGCTCGTGGGCTTCTATCCTGAAAACTATTGTACCACTCACACACCTAGCATGCCCCTCTCCACAACCAAATAATCCATCATTGGCTTTACATAGATCCCCATGTTTCCCCTTGTAACAATGTGGGTGGCATTATCCACCAGTTTACACAAGGAATCTAATGGCAGTGCCTGCCCATCTCATAAACTCTTACAGAGCACACCCCACCAAACCTACAAAGCCCATCCTTTTATGGCCATTTGTCTCGACCCTCTCATACATACTGACGTCTTTTGACGATGCTCAAGTGCCTACTCCGAAGCTCCCCACAACTGAACCGAGTGCCTACTTCTGCCCACTTAATAGTGCTTGGAAAACCGCGACTCCCTGCATCTCACCTCACACCACTCCCCAAGCCATGCCTACTTTGACCAGGTCAGGAAGGTTCGGCTGTTGGTTCGGGCAGGACCTGTCATCTCCTCCATCTCAAGCACTCCATCCTCAGGCACGGATGAGGTGGTTCGGGCAAGCGAGCCTGACGCGGAGGACAGGGCTGCTAGCGCCTCATTGGTTCCTGGTTTTGAGGGCGAGGCAAGATCTGCCGCTGCTGCCGCATTAAGAGCTAGCCGGGCGTCCTTGCCTCCCTTGAAAGAAATGTCCTGTACAAGGGGAGACCGGGTAGACAGGAAATGAGAAGGGGTTAAATGTTCCTCGGATGGTTCCATATCATGTTGCTCTTGGCGTGCGTGTTCCGCGCATCGTGGTAAACTGGAACACAACCACTGTGTTGTCATCATGGTACTCTCGCCGCTGCCTCGCCTTCCCCCCCACCCCCATTACACACACGCACCCAGACCCCTCACAATGCATCCCATGCCGCACATGGTTCCACGTCATGTTGCTCTTGGCGAGCTCGTTCCTCGGCTCGTGGTGGAAGAGCAACACCACCACTGTGATGTCGTCGTGGTGCCCCCCCGCTGCCTCTCGTCTTCCCCGTCTCCCACACACACGCCCACTCACATCCATCACTGGCATCCCATTTCTTACATGGTTCCACGTCATGTTGCTCTTGGCGTGCTTGTTCCGCGCCTCGTGGTTGAAGAAGAACACCACCACTGTGATGTCATCATGGTACTCCCGCCGCTGCCCGCTCGACATGCGCAGCAGATCCTGGTACCGGATCTCCCGCCTCTCCGCCGCCCGCCGTAACGCCGCCCGGATCAGCTGCCGGGCAATGTCCTGCGGGAGGGGTGGAGGGGTGGAGGGGTGGAGGGAGATGACATTGGAGTCCTCAAAGGCCCCCGGATCAGCTGCCGGGCAACGTCCTGCGGGAAAATAGGAGAAGACTAGTCTCTTTGATGGCACGAAAATGAAATTCGCAGGCACAGGGTAAGGCTGCTGGCTGCTCACCTTTCTAGGGCTGCTGGCCACAATATCGACCGCCTCCTGGCTGCTGATGAATTCGAAAAGCACATTTAAAGCGAGCGAGAACCACGAAGGAGATATTGAGCTTCTCACCTTTCTGGGGCTGCTGGCAACAATGTCGACTGCCTCCTGGTTGCTAATGAATTCGAAAAGCCCATCGGAAGCGAGGATGACAAAGGAGTCGTGGGGCGACAGCAGGCGCACAGCGATGTTGGGCTCGCACGACAGCAGCGGCGGGTGGAAGGGCTCCGGCACTCGGAAGCGAGAGAAGAGCGGCTCTCGATTGAACTCGTGCGACTTGAGATAGAGGTCGCCGAAGGACCGGGTGACCTGGGGGAGCGGAGAGTGCGAGGAGGGAGGGAGAGAGGGAGGGAGCGAGGGAGGGAGGGAGGGAGGGAGGGAGGGAGGGAGGGAGGTTTGCACATGCGCTTGTGACGGGCGGACAGGTGGCTGCTTGTTGGGGCAGGGACTGAGACCAGGGGGGAGGGATTCAGGGGGGAGCACGACAGCGGCGACGGGTGGAATGGCTTGGGCACTCGGAAGCGAGTTAGATTGGCTCTCACATCCTTGCACCCACCCCCACTTCCCCACCCTCCTTGCACCCTCATTTCACTCACCGTGACTTTGCCCTTCACTCGGTACCCGCCTCTCTTCTCCACCACAGGTCCACAGCGTCAGGCGTGCCCAAATGCTCCTCTTAAACCTCTCCAGATGTATTTCAAAACGACACGGAAAACACCCCTTGCGCCCACATCCCTGCACCCGCATCCTTGCACTGACGTCCTTCCTCTCACGGTGACTTTCCCCCTTTGTACGTGATCGCGAGGAGTGTGCTTTGAGTCGCACCCCTTGCGCCCACATCCTTGAACCCCCTCTCTCTCCACCACAGCATCCGGAGTGCGACTCAAAGTACACTCCTCGCGATCACGTCCTGCCACTCACCGTGACTTTCCCCTTCACTCGGAAGCCGCCCTCTTCTCGACCACAGCATCCGGCATGTCGGCATGCTCCTCTATGAACTTCTCCCTTATACTCGCAAACGACAGGTTGTGGTCCACCGACAGCTGCAGCGCCCTGCACTCCAATGAGTTGTCGTCTCCTTTCCGCACCTTTCAGGGTGATAATGAGGAAAAGGGGCGGAGAGGGTGTTGGGAAGGTAAGAGCACGTGGGAATGATGAGGGGCAGACGATGCTAAGGGTCACTGGAAGCAAACGACAGGTTGTGGTGCACATAACACCTCCCCCCCATTTCACCTCCCCCGCATCTCACCTGTCCCAGCACGGCCCTGCAGTCGCCCACATTGGCCACCCAGAGCGCGTTGCCTGTGACCACCGCCACCACACTGCACGACCCCACTGTTGCCAGGTGGGGGCTGGCTTCAAATGACTGGCGCACGACCTGAAAGTGCAGGCAGGAGGGGGGGGGGAGGGGGGGTTACTGCGAGGTGTCTCAACGTGCCACCCAGAGCGCGTTGCTTGCCTGTGACCACCGCCACCACACCGCACGACCCCACTGTTGACAGGTGGGGGCTGGCTTCAAATGACTGGCGCACGACCTGGGGGATAGAAGGATGGGGAGGATGGAATCGATGCTAAAAGTATGAGGGCGCGCTGCCAGAGACCATCACCACCACACCAAACGGGGATACAGTCGGGGAGGTGAGTTCCCCCAAAAGCCCAGTCAGCCACCCAGAGCGTTTTGCCAGTTACCACCGCCACCACACCACAGTGCATGACCCTGCTGTCGCCAGGTGGGGGCTTGCCTTGACTAAATGATTGCCGAGCAACCTGGGAGGGAACAGATGGAGAGAGGAGGATTTGGGTTTAGAGGCGCCCTAGAACTGAACGAAACTACCTGAAAGGACAGAAGGGTGTGGCAGTGCGAGGTGTCTGAAATTGTGACTTGCATCACATCACACGACCACCCCATCAGTCTCACACCCCATCAACCACCATAGGACTCCCTCAAAGACCATGACAGCCTTGGGAGGGCACTGTACAGGGTACCTTGATTTGAAAAACCACAAAAAAGCCTTAAGCTGGTACCTGGCTACAACTGTACCTGGCTACAACTGCACCTGGGTGAAAGTCGTCTCTGTTTCGTGGAAGGCTCCTCTGACTGCCTCTGCTGACACCTGGCCGCCTTGATGCATGAATTGTGCTGAGCGCATGGCGGGCGGGGAGAGGGTGGGCGGGGAGAGGGAGGGCGGGGAGTGGCCGAAGGGGGTAGGGCAGAGGGGGTAGGGCAGAGGGGGTAGGGCAGAGCGGGAAGGGCAGAGGGGGTAGGGCAGAGCGGGTAGGGCAGAGGGTGCTAGAAACTGAGCAAGAGCATACATCCTTAAGTACCGAGCATCGGAGAGGATGGGAAGGGATAAGGGAGAATCGGAGGGAATCCCAAGGGAATCCTCCCAAATCGTGGGGATTTGGGATGGATTGGGTTGGGATAGGTTGGGGATGAAAACATAGCTACACCCAACCTAGCAAATATGCGTATCCCTAAAACCAACAAATTGCCAACACACAAAGTTGTGCCAACCGAATTGCAGCCTATCTGTAACAGAGGGGGTAGGGCAGAGGGGGTAGGGCAGAGCGGGTAGGGCAGAGGGGGTAGGGCAGAGCGGGTAGGGCAGAGGGGGTAGGGCAGAGGGGGAAGGGCAGAGGGGTAGGGCAGAGCGGGTAGGGCAGAGCGGGTAGGGCAGAGGGGGTAGGGCAGAGCGGGTAGGGCAGAGGGGGTAGGGCAGAGCGGGTAGGGCAGAGGGGGTAGGGCAGAGCGGGTAGGGCAGAGGGGTAGGGCAGAGCGGGTAGGGCAGAGGGGGTAGGGCAGTGGGGATAGGGCAGAGCGGGTAGGGCAGAAGGGGTAGGGCAGAGGGGGTAGGGCAGAGCGGGTAGGGCAGAGCGGGTAGGGCAGAGCGGGTAGGGCAGAGGGGTAGGGCAGAGCGGGTAGGGCAGAGGGGTAGGGCAGAGCGGGTAGGGCAGAGGGGGTAGGGCAGAGCGGGTAGGGCAGAGGGGTAGGGCAGAGGGGGTAGGGCAGTGGGGATAGGGCAGAGAGGGTAGGGCAGAGGGGTAGGGCAGAGGGGGTAGGGCAGAGGGGGTAGGGCAGAGGGGTAGGGCAGAGGGGTAGGGCAGAGGGGGTAGGGCAGAGGGGTAGGGTAGAGCGGGTAGGGCAGAGGGGGTAGGGCAGAGGGGGTAGGGCAGAGGGGGTAGGGCAGAGGGGTAGGGCAGAGGGGGTAGGGCAGAGGGGGTAGGGCAGAGGGGGTAGGGCAGAGCGGGTAGGGCAGAGGGGTAGGGCAGAGCGGGTAGGGCAGAGGGGTAGGGCAGAGCGGGTAGGGCAGAGGGGGTAGGGCAGGGGGTAGGGCAGGGGGTAGGGCAGAGCGGGTAGGGCAGAAGGGGTAGGGCAGAGGGGGTAGGGCAGAGCGGGTAGGGCAGAGCGGGTAGGGCAGAGCGGGTAGGGCAGAGGGGGTAGGGCAGAGCGGGTAGGGCAGAGGGGGTAGGGCAGAGCGGGTAGGGCAGAGGGGGTAGGGCAGAGCGGGTAGGGCAGAGGGGGTAGGGCAGAGGGGTAGGGAAGTGGGGATAGGGCAGAGAGGGTAGGGCAGAGGGGTAGGGCAGAGGGGGTAGGGCAGAGTGGGTAGGGCAGAGGGGGTAGGGCAGAGCGGGTAGGGCAGAGGGGTAGGGCAGAGGGGGTAGGGCAGAGGGGTAGGGCAGAGCGGGTAGGGCAGAGGGGTAGGGCAGAGGGGGTAGGGCAGAGGGGTAGGGCAGAGGGGGTAGGGCAGAGGGGGTAGGGCAGAGGGGTAGGGTAGAGGGGTTGAAAGGGAGGGACACGGGTTGAGCTGAAGGGCACAGAGGCTAGACTGGTCCCACCATGGCTCTGTCCCCCATGGGCCAGCCCTCCAGCCTAGAGCTGCCTCCCAGTGACTTGCGAGTCGAAAGACACAGGGAGGACCATCTACCCACTATGAAGAGCGACGGCATACACGCCATTCAACGGCCCTCCACCGCTTCAGTCTGCGCACAACGACTTCCAAGCCGACCCAAACCGTATGAGGCGAAAGAGAGTGAGAGCCAAGGGAGAACTGCCCACCAAAAGGACGCATGAGGTTGGAATAGAGGTTCTCCTTGAGAAACCCCGACATCTCTGTGCCCCAATGCCCATCATGCACCCCAATGTAAACGCCACAAGAGGACCCCTCCACCTCAGCAGTGTCCTCCATCACGTAGTTCGCCTCGCCTCATACATGGCTGGCGAGAACTGCCCGTACGGGGTAGTGCTGCCCGTTTGGGGCTATCGAGGCGCCTGAAAGCCCAGCGAGAACTGCCCAACCAAAGAGTGGTACCTTTAAGGTTGAAGTAGAGGTTTTCCTTGAGAAATTCGGAAGTTTCGGTCCCTCCATGCCCGTCATGCACGCCAATGTACACGCCGCTGCTGGACCCCTCCACCTCCGCGGTGTCCTCCATAACGTAGTTCGCCTCGTACATGGCCAGCGAGAACTGCCCGTACGGGGTGCTGTCCAGCGCGCGGTGCCACACGTCCCGCTTCTGCCCGAAGGCTTCGGCCGGCCCGCCTGGGCGGCCCCAGCGCTTGGGGTTGAGCATGCGCACGATGGTTTCGAGCACACCCGGCATGCGGTGATGCATGGAGCGTGTGGAGAGGAAGCGCCGGCCGCCATATTGGCTGTCCTCCATGTCAAACTCCTCCCCTTCGTCTTCCCCTCCATGAAACGCCACGTCAAGACCGACCTAGAGAGAAGCGCGAGGCAGATGAGGAGGTGGAGACGGGAGAGAGAGGGGGGATGACGGGGAAAGGGGTGTGTCAAATGAGTGAACACTAACAGAGCAAGCTGCCATTCTGACTGTCTGTTAGAAATGGCTGTACTGACAGTCACAAGACGAGTCAGTGGCAGTGACGTCTACCTCCTCCTTCTCACCTCCTCCTCCTGCCTCTTGACTCGCAGCACGCCAAATGCACCCAGAAACACAAAGAGCACGTACGTGGTCACGCCCACCCACGCGTACACCAGCAGCAGCGCCAGGATCTGAGAGCAAACGTGAGAAGAACGAAGGAGGTGGGAGAGAAGTGGGCAAAGGATAGGAGGTAAGGAACACACAGAGCACGCATGTGGTCACACGGTCCCATGCATGCAAGAGCAGCAGCAGCAGAACCTGGAGGCAGACGGGATGGGCGGGAAGGAACGCAAGGAGCACGTGTGCGGCCACTCCCATCCACCCACGCATACACCAGCAGCAGCGGCAAGAACTGAGAGCACAAGGGATAGAAGAGAGGGTATGCGACAGGGGGCAACAGGCGAGAATAGGCAGAGGGAATGCGGCAGGACAAGGGATGAGATGAAAGCGTGTAGCTACAGGGCGGAAACCGCACTTGTGGTAACCGCTGTTGTTGCTACAAATTCCAGACATCCCCGGTTCACAATGAACAAGCACCCACCTGCACCAGCAGCTGCCAGCCACCCCCGCCGTAGAAGAGCCCCCAGGAGTTCGGCACCACGCCGTAGGTTGATACGATGCCGTCCTTGGTGGCAAAGAGGCCCGCCGCTATGCCACCCCACGACCCGCAGAAGAGATGCGTTGGAGCTGCTTGTACCGGGTCGTCAATTTGATACCTGATACACGATTGAGGAAAGGAGGAGGTGGACAATTGGTTTGGCGGTTCAGCAGTGAGAGGTGATTGGTTGGAATTCTAACCTCCATCCACAAACAAACACCCAGTGTCACACCAACGCCGCCCACCCACCCACCTGAACATGAGCCAGCACCCCAACAGGTACATGAGCCCCGCCACCACCCCAATAATCGCCGCAGCGTACGGCTCAACCACGCTGCTCGTCGCACACGCCGCCACGAGCCCACCAATGACCGCATTGAAGGTATCCTCTGGGACCGGCTCCCTGCGTCTGTAAGTGAGCGTCCACACGGTGACGCCGCTGAAGGAGGCGGAGATGGTGGTGTTGACACACACGCGTGCCACCTCCTGCACCCACTGCAGCGGCGGCTGGCCGACTAAGGAGACTGAGCCCCCGTTGAAGCCGTAGAAGCCCACCCACAGGATGATGGTGCCCGCTGCTATAAACACCTGGGGGGGCCGGGGGGGGAGGGGTTTTGTTGAGGGGAGAAGGAGAAAAGTGGGGTGCACGAGGGTGAGAAGGGGTGAGAGTGGCCAAGCGTGAACGTGGAAAAAGGGGGTAGAGGGGAGGGGTGGGCAGCTGTGAGTGCTAGGGCGACAGAGATGCCCCAAGAGCTGCAGAAGCCGGCCCACAGGATGATGGTGGTACACGCTGCTGTGAACACTTGGGGGAGTGTATGTATGGGGGGGGAGGAGGGGGGGGGGGGGGGGGGCTAGGGGAGGAGGAGGAGAGACAGAAAGAATGGCAGGGAAACGGTGCTGCCATCAAGGGCATTGAATGAACCTGTAGAAGCACACCCACAGGATGATGGTGCCTGCTGCTATGACGTTGCGGGAGGAAGGATGGGGAAGGCGGGAGAGGAGGGGAAAGGGAGGGAGAAAGAAAGTGGGCGGAAGGGAAGAAGTAGGTACGAGAGATAAGATAGAAAATCGAGGGAGGAGAAAAAATGCGAGGGGGAAGGGAGGGGAAAAGGAGAAGGGAGGGGGAAGGGAGATAGGGGAAGGGCATACATACCACGGAATGGCACTTGAACGGAACCACTTTGCCATCAATATCGAACCGGCCAATGCGTGGGCCCACCAGGATTGCTCCAACCAATGACGTGACGCCACCTGTTCAATGAACAGGTGCAAGTGGGCACGTGTGGAGAAGAGAGGGGAAGAGAAGGGGTAAAGGAAGGGGGAACGGAAGGGAGCAGAAAATGGGGAAGTGAGAGGAGGTAGGAAAGAGAGAAGGTATAGAAGGCGGAGAAAGGGCACACGGTGCTCCGCTAGGGCAATGATGTTGAGCAGAGAGTTGCTCTCTCTCGCCCCTCCCTCCTGCACTCTCAACCAATAGGCCCTGCCCTTTGACCACCAACCACCAACCAACCACCCGTCACATGCAACACAGTGGACCCTGCGTTGTGTAGCACGCCAATGGCGTGCAGTGCATTGCTGGTCTCTCTTCCCCTCTCTCATACAACAACCAGCAGCACCACCCTTACCCGTCACATGCACCACCATGGACCCGGCATTGTCCAGCACGCCTATGGTGTTGAGCACCGTGTTGGTCTGACTGGCCGCCAGCAGCCCGCCCTGCGACCAGATCACGTGCGCTATGACGGGGTAGATGAGTGCTGAGAGGAAGAAACTGAGGGAGGAAAGGGGGGAGAGGGGGAGGAGAGGAAGGGGCGGGGGAATAAGAGGGGGAATACGAGGGGGCATAACAGCAAGGCGAAGCTGCAGCAAGTGAGGGGGTGTGGCTGCCAGCAGCCCTTCCTGCGACCAGATCATGCGCGCTATGAGCCTATGACGGGGTAGATGAGTGCTGACAAGAAGAAGCTGATGAGGGGAGGGGGGCACCGGAATAGGGGGGTTGGGGGGCAGTGGTCAGAAGAGTGGGAGGAAAGCCACAGCAAGTGATAGGTTGGCTGGCAGCAGCCCTCCCTGTGGGCAGAACATGTGTGCAATTACCAGGTGGGCACGCGCTGACAGGACGAAACTGGTGACGGAAAGAGGGTTACCAGGGCAACGGGCCGGAAGGGGAGGGGAAAGGGGAATGGCAAGTGAGTGGATTTAGCACTCAGCAGCCCACACTGCGACCAGATCATGTGTGCTATTACTGGGTCAATGAGCGATGAGAGAAAGAGGGGGGGGATATCAGAATAGCGGGGTTGGGGAACAGGGGACAGTAGAGTGAGACGAAGCCCCAGCAAGTGATGGGATGATGGAGCGCGAGTGCGATGACGGACAGGAAGCGGGGGGGGAATGAACGGGGAGAGAGATCGATCGTGTGTGTTCATAAGGAGGATAATATTAGGCCCACAGTCCATGCCTACGAATTACACCCCGCCTATAGAGAAGCACAAGTGGATAGTAAGTGCAAACCACTTATAGTGAGACACGCACACCCTGTAATGAGGGGCACAGCTTTTAATAAGAGAGGCAGCCTATAACGACACAGAATACTTGGAACGAGACTCAGAGACTATAACGAGGCACAGAGCCTACAGACATGGATTGCGTGAAGGTGAGGTATGCCCAAAGGTGTTGCACATACTCTATAACGAGGCACACAGCTAATAGCGACGCACTGAAACAACAGAGAGGGATTACTTGAAGGTGAGGTATGCCCAAAGGTGGGTTCGCTCCGCCACGGCCCCTGCAATGATTGTTGCTGACGTGGCACAGAAGGTGAACTGGAAGAACCAGTCAACTCCATTCTGCCCGCTGGCGTACGCGATCTGCAGGTTGACGGTGTGTGTGTGTGGGGGGGTAGGGGGGGAGGGGGGGACGAGGAAGAATGGAGGGGGAGAGTGGGAATGGGTGAGTGAGAGAGGCAGTCCACCCCGCTCTGACCGCTGACGTATTTGATCCGGATGGCAAAGGTGGGGGCGGCGGGGGGTTGCGGTGGGGGGGTTGGGGCGGGGGTGTGGAGGGAGGGATGGAGGGAGGGAGGGAGGGAGGGAGGGAGGGAGGGAGGGAGGGAGGGAGGAGGGATGCAAAGCGGGAGTGACGGAGAGGGGTAAGGGGGGGGGAGTGAGGGGAAGAGATGGGGAGGGGTAAGGGGGGGGGGAGTGAGGGGAAGAGATGGGAGAGGGGTAAGGGGGGGGGGAGTGAGGGGAAGAGATGGAGAGGGGTAAGGGGGGGGGAGTGAGGGGAAGAGATGGGAGAGGGTAAGGGGGGGGGGGGAGTGAGGGGAAGAGATGGGAGAGGGGTAAGGGGGGGGAGTGAGGGGAAGAGATGGGAGAGGGGTAAGGGGGGGGGGGAGTGAGGGGAAGAGATGGGAGAGGGAGGGACGGCAAGGGGGGAATGAGCCCAACTGGGATTAGAAACACACGCATTGACATCTCTTTGATGTAGTTGTCACTGAAACCAATGCCGACTCATACCCTACCCTCTCATCACCATCATCACATCACACTGCCATGACATGATAGGCTTGCTGCTGAGATGTGATCATTTTTCCACTCAAACACCTTGGAGCCATCCCCAAAGCCAATGCCAATGCATATCCTGGCATCATCACACACCCATCCCATGCGCACTACCACACAGCCCCACCCCACCACACCATCCATCCCTACCGATCCGTCGTCGTATTTCCACCCAAACACTTTAGAGCCCTCCCCGAAGCCAATGCCGTAGCCCAGCAGCCAGAAGGCGATGGCGCTGACGCACGTGTCCAGCACGTTCTTGATCATGATGTTGCGTGTGTTCTTGAAGCGAACGGTGCCCGCTTCTAGTAGCGAGAAGCCAAGCTGTGGGGATGGGGGATGGGAGGCGGACAGGAAGAGGGTGAAGGGGGGGGGAAGAGGGGATGAGATGAGGGGGCAAGAGTCCCGGAGAAGAATAGAGTTTGGCGATGAGGGAAAGAAACAGGGTGGAAGGGGAGGGGAGGGGGAAGAAGGTGGCAGGGAGCGTGGTGGTGGAGAGGATGAGGAACGGGAGGGAAACGGGTCGATGACTCCTGGGTCGGCTCAACTGGTTGGGCCGGGCCGGTCACCAGAGCGGCTTATGCGGGGTTTCTTGGCTCGTTCAGTTCAGTTGGGCACGTGTTCCCATTGATGCATGCATGTAAGTGCTGCTGCAAGGGAGGAAAGGAGTCCATGGCGCAAGCGCATAGTAGAGGCGACCAACCCCTAGCCCAATCCCCTAGCCCAGTCCGTGTACCCTTTGCATTACCATCCATACTGCTAGCCCACTCTAGCCTATCCCCTAGCCCAACCTACCACCCTATCCCACCCTATCCCACCCTCTATCCCACCCTATCCCACCCTATCCCACCCTATCCCACCCTATCCCACCCTATCCCACCCTACCCGTCCGAGCCCAGTGCACCTGGTATCCGCCAGATCTCGGCCGTCAGCTTGACGGAGTTCCGCACCTCCACCTGCATGCTCGCCACTGATTGGGTAAGCGCCGCCCAGCCCACTCTGGCACAGCCCACCCTAGAAAACCCTAGCAGCCTAACCCAGCCCAGCCCAGACTATAGCACCCTAGCCTAGCGCAACCTCGCCCGCCCCGCCCGCATGAGGAAGACGAAGACGCCGGCCGTGATCCGCCAAACCTCAGCCGTCAGCATAACCGAATTCTGCACCTCCACCTGCATGCTCGCCACCGACTAGCTCAGCGCCACCCACCCTAGCCCAGTCCAGCGCACCCTAGCCCAGCCCACCCTAGCCCACCCTACCCGAGTGCAGCCCAGCGCACCTGCATGAGGAAGACGAAGACGCCGGCCGTGATGCGCCAAATCTCGGCGGTGAGCATGACGGAGTTCTGCACCTCCGTCTGCATGCTCGCCACTGATTGGTTCAGCGCCACAATGCGGGCCTGCACCTCCGATAGCGTCGCGTTGGTGATGTTGTAACTCGTGCCGTTGTACACCACAGTCGCCATGGTTACAACAAGGTGACGATAGTACGAAATATGATGACAGTACGATTGAGTAGACCACAAATGTGGGTAGTAGTCGTGTAACCAGGGCGACAATGCAAAGGCGAGCTTTGCTGCTGGTGGATTTTCTTGAGCAGCTGATTGAAAAACCTGGGATTACGAGCTCGTTATTAGCACCTAACGGGCGAACGCCTGCTGCTGGTATAAACTATACCATCATCGCCGGCTAACAGGACGATCGTATGGTGCTCGGATTTAGAGAGACTCTCAGAATGAACAAGCGAACCTGACGTCCATAGCGGCACGACTGCTGCTTTCTACCAATGCGGTCAACCCTGTAGCCGCCTGGGACTAGAGTACTAGAATCATAAGGTCAGTGGGTGAGAATCATAGACTTAGGCTCTCCATCGGCGGCGATCATGGCTACTACGACGCATATCCCCCTATCAAGAGTCAGACGACCTCAAAGATCAACTTACTACCCGCGTTTTCAAGCTGAACGCAGCCTCGAGACTCCTCGATGTTCCCAAGGTCATGGTATGGCAGCGGCTCTGCGAAACGCGTTACCGCGAATTGCGGGCTCTTAGGCTTGTCTACTACTATGCGGGGAGTCTGCCAACAGTAAGCTTTAGTCCTGCCAGGTTGTGGTAGCCGAGAATCTATGCCTGCTAGTAGTGCAATGTGCTACAGCGCGAGTACGGTTACCAGACCTTTACGAAAAGCATCGAGTTACCAGAATTTCGCAAATAATGGACAACGAGGGTATTATCATTCCTTGGCTGTGCTGACCCCTGGGCCGCTTCATGCCTTACTAGATTATGGTCACGTGGTCGAAGCACGCTTAGCAAACCCTAATTGTGGGGGATGGATCGCCGCGCATATAGGAGGCGCGAGGGGAAGGTGAGGAGGAAGGGCAGCCATGGCTGGAGTTGTCCCTACTTGGACCTTGCAGGAATCTGGTCCATCCGTTTCTCCGTTGATCAGATTGCGCAGAGGGATAGGGAAATGCCCATCGTCACAAGTATTTTTTTCCAGCCCGTGCTGCCACAACGAAGTCGGGTGCCGTACAGCATTCTGCTCGTGCGTAGGAAGAAGACTTCGGAACTTAGAAACAGACCGTGGTCTGGTCTGCGACATACCTAAAAATCAAACGAAACTTATGAGCTCGGAAAGGCTCTAGCACCTGCCAAAAAGTAGTTTCCGAATCCAGCCGTCAGTGTGCCCAGTGAAAAGTGTCGGATGTACCAAGCTGACCACATGGTCGTGTGGGGGGTGAAAAGTCCCTGGCCCGATTGGACGATAAGGTTGCCAACGGACTATGAATCAGCGAATCCACAAGCTCTTTGCTGGAACCCGTGTACCACGTGGAAGGAAAAATATGTTAGGTTGTGTTACAAGCACCAGTGAATTCGTCACTTCTCTCGTTGTAAAAAAGAATTAGACAAATGCCACTTCATCAAATAGTATTTGGCAAGGCCTTAGAATTCAGGCAAAAAATGCCTGAAAGCTTGTATATCAAGGTGTTTTCTAGGGCATACCCTGAATTTCAGATTTTGAGTTTTGTCAAACCTGAAATTTATGTGTTAAAACACTAGAATGGTTAACAAGAAGAGAGAACAAGGGAGATAAAGGGTTTGGGTTGTACTTTCTAAGAACACACACCTATTCTAGCCTATAACTTCTACATGCAAATATATGTATAAGTTGACATACCCCCTAGGCTAGATAAGGGGTAGTGCTGAGCAGGAAGCACACAACTCAGGGTGGCACTACTAATCCAGCCTCTGAGGCAAGGGTCCGAAGACCAATCAGCAAGAGTACAAACAAGACAGGAGCAAACCAGGGCGGCACAACTAGTCCGGCCACTGTAAGAGAAGCCACAAGGCCAGTCTGAAAGATATATATAAGAGGGGTACACAATTAAGGTCCTAGCTACCAAAGTTAACGAATGAATAAAACCAAGGCATACAAGGGAATATAACCTTGTGGATTGTATGTCAAACATATATTGCCGACATGCCTGACGGTCTCAACCCGTGGCTTGTCTCTGCGCGTGTCCACCACGGTCTCCCTGACTTACATCTCCAGTCCGACCGTGGTGGCGAGTTTCCCTCCGGGGTCCTTGGTCGTTTCTGTCGTGCGGAGGGCATCACCCACACGTTCACCTTGCCGGACTCCCCGCAGCAGAATGGGGTCGCTGAGCGACGCATCGGTTTGGTCATGGAGGTGGCTCATGCCTCCATGATCCATGCCGGTGCACCCCATTTTCTGTGGCCGTTCGCCATTCACTACGCCGCTCACCAGCTTAACCTGTGGCTGCACCCCAGCAGCCGCAGGTTTCGCCAACCCTTCTTTGGCCCGGGTCTCCTGGTGACGCGTCTGCATTCCACGTCTGGGGCTGCCTTGCTCATGTTCGTGCCTTTGGCACGGACAAGCTCACTGTCTGCACTTTCCCCTGTGTCTTCCTCGGTTTCCCCCTTGACTCGTCTGACTGGCACTTCTATCACCCGTCGTCGCACCGTTTCTTTCACTCCCGCGACGTCACATTTGACGAGTCCGTCTCCTTCAACCCTCGCTTCCCCCACCGTGCTCTTCCGGTTACTCCCCCCCTGTTCTTGGTTCCCCCTTCTCCGGTGGCCCCTGCCCCTCCCCGTCTTGCCCCGTCTGGTGTGTCTCACGTTACCCCCCTCATGTCGGTTGTCCCGGTCGAGGAGTCTGCAGACTCTGGTGGCCCAACAGCGCAGTCCTCGCCGCCTGCCCCTCCCTAGGTGTCTCCTCCTCTGCCGCCTCCGCAGCCGCCGTCGCCGCCACTGTCGCAGCCGCCGTCGCCGCCACTGTCGCAGCCGCCGTCACCGCCGCCGCAGCCGCCGTCGCCGTCCTTGCAGCCGCCGCCGCCGCAGCCGTCGCCGCAACCGTCGCAGCAGCAGTTCGTTGACTCTGGGGGTGCTGGCGTTAGGGTCGGTTCTAGTCCTGGGGTTCCTGTCGTGGCTTGTCCCGGCGGGCCTGGGGGTGGTACCGGTGCTCGAGGGGTTTTGGGCTCTTGGGGTGTTCCTTCTGGGGGTGCTGGAGTGGAGCGTTCCGACGGTAACCGTGGAGCAGCTTGCGGTCGCGGTGTCGGTGTCGTGCCATCGCAGCAGCAGTCACCGCCGGTGTCAGGCCTTCGCCTGCTCGGCCTTCCGTCCCCTGCCCACGCTTCTGTGCCTCTCCTCCCGTATCCTCCTCTTCCTGTACGGCCCTGTGTTCCCTCCCCCAAACTTGACTCCGGCTCGTCTTCCCCATCGTTCCCCTCTTGTGTCCCCTCCTCTGTCTCCTGACCCGACTCCTCCGTCTCACATCTGGTCTCGCCGTCCCTCCCGTGCTCGCCCCGTCTCCCCTGTCCCAGGCGCTCACCCTATATTGCTTCGTTCCCACGCGTCTCGTCCTCCCCTCCTACCGTCGCCTCCTCCGTCCTCCCTTGTTGTTGCGCCTCCCCCTCTGTCTGACTACCTTCGCGCCGCTCGTCCTCTTGATCCTCGGGTCCTTGCCTCTCTCGTTACTGACCCGTCTGTTCCGGTCTCGTGTCTTGACGCTCTTGTCGCTGCCATCGCTGACTTTGCCCCTACCCGCCGCCTTGACTACGCCACCGCTCTGGTCTCTGACCCTGCCTGTCCTCCGTCTGTTGGGGGTGCTCCTGCCCTCAGCAGTGACGTCATGGAGGACTGCTAGTACGAGCTTGCTTTCCTGTCCGAGGCTGCTCCCCATCTCTGTTCCATGCTGCTAGTCCCTGAGGGTGACCCAGACGCTTTCGATATCCCGACCCCTCGCACTTACGCTGAGGCGACCTCGGAACCCTGGGCCTCTCAGTGGATAGCTGCCATGGAGCAGGAGATGGCATCCTGGAGATCCACCGGCACCTACGTCGACGCAGTTCCCCCCCCTGGGGTGAACGTGGTCGATGGCCGCTGGCTCTTGAAGGTGAAGCGCCCACCTAGAGAGCCGCCTGTGTTCAAGGCGCGCTACGTGGCTAGAGGCTTCAGTCAGCGTGAGGGGGTGGACTTCTTTCAGGCCTTCGCCCCGACCCCAAAGATGACTACTCTTCGGGCGCTGTTACACGTAGCAGCACAGCGTGACTACGAGTTACACTCCCTCGACTTCTCCACTGCGTTTCTTCAGGACAATCTACAGGAGCAGGTCTACCTGTGTCGCCCTCAGGGTTTCACTGGTACCTTCCCTCCTGGGACCCAGTGGCTCCTGCGGCGCCCAGTCTACGGCTTGCGCCAGGCGCCCCGCGAGTGGCACGACACGCTGCGTGCTACCCTTGTAGACCTGTAGTTCTTTCCGTCCTCTGCAGACCCCTCGCTCTTCGTTCGTGCTGGCCAAACCCCGTTCTGCATCCTTGTTTACGTAGACCATATGGTCTTTGCCACTGCAGACACCGCCACGCTGGCCTTCGTGAAGGCTGAGCTGCTGAGGAGACACACCTGCACTGACCTAGGAGAGCTGCGCCACTACCTGGGCCTGCAGATCGCCAGGGACAGAGCAGCGCGCACCATCACTCTCACCCAGTCACACTTGGTGCGCCAGGTCCTTCAGAGGTTCGGTCTTCAGTTCTCCTCCGCACAGCCCACCCCTCTTCCAGTAGATCATAGGCTCTCTGCTCTAGTTCCTGAGGAGTCGGCAGAGCCCAGTGGTCCTTACGCAGAGCTGGTGGGTTGCCTCATGTACGTGATGTCTTGCACTCGTCCAGATCTCGCATACCCTTTCAGCATCCTGGGAGTACATCAGGCATGGGGTTAGTGCTGGGAGGACGCAGTCCATTGGTCCTTACTGGGCACACAGACGCTTCCTGGGCAGACGACGCCGAGACCCTCAGGTCCTTGCACGGCTACTCCTTTAGCCTTGGTTCAGGTGCTGTCTCGTGGAGAGCTACTCACTCCTCGTCTGTTGCTCAGTCCAGCTGTGAGGCCGACGTTCTTGCATACTGACAGCGGCCTAGCTCTGCCCCGGTCCTAACCGCTAACAACAAGGCTATGATCCTCCTTTGTCAGGAGCCTCGACTTGAGGGTAGAGCGAAGCACATCCAGCTGCGGTATTTCCTCATGCGCGAGCTACAGCAGCGTCGGCAGGCCCGCGTTGTACACTTGGCCTCCAGTGCCAACCCTGCTGATATCTTTACGAAGGTGCTTTCGCCTAAAGATTATCAGCGGCACTGTGTACAGCTCGGTCTCGTTCCTATAGCCTCTCACCTGCTAGGGCCTTGACTATGTACAGACCTTTATATATATTTTACCCTTGACTGGCCTTGTGGCCTCTCCCAGTGGCTGGACTAGTAGTGCCGCTCTGGCCTTGCTCTTGCATTGGTCTGTACTCGTTTGACTTGTCTTTAGACCCTTGCCTCAGAGGTTGGACTTGTAGTGCCACCCTGAGTTGCTCGTTCTCACGTCATGAACAGCACCTATGCAGTCTAGGGGGTGTGTCAAACATATATTGTTATGTTTGTATATACTGTATAGGTTTGTGCCTTAGAGGGTACAACCCTTAGGTCATATACCCTTGTACTCATGTCTTCTACTCATTATTCAATTCTGATATTGTACTCTCTAAGGCACAACCCTGTATAGTTTATAATAACATACAAGGATATGTTTGACACACACACTCCCTAGATTGGATAAGGACAGTGTCTGTATCAGAAAATTGAATGATAGTGATAGAGGGAGAGTACACACAATATAGCTAAGTGTTGTACCCTCTAAGAGGCTACCCTATACAGTCTATACAAACATAACAAATAGACATGTTTGACACACCCCCTAGACTGCATAGGGGAAAGTCCTAAACAAACAGCTCAGGGCGGCACTACTAGTCCAACCTCTAAGACAAGGGTCTGAGCGACCAGTCAGAAGGAGTACAGACAAGGCAAGCAAAGAGCAGGGCGGCACTATTAGTCCAGCCACTGGGAGAGGACACAAGTCCAGTCTGAGTATACATATAAAGGACAGTACAAAGTCAAGGTCCTAGCAAGTGAGAGGCTACAGGAACTAGACCAAGCTGTACACAGTGCCGCTGATGATCTTTAGGCGCAAGCACCTTCGTAAAGATACCAGCCGTGTTGGCACCTGAGGCCAAGTGTACTACGCGAGCCTGACGTCGCTGCTGTAGCTCACGCAGGA